GAACCGGGAAAAATTTCGAACGATATTTTAAATATTGACGAAATGCTTCAGCATTCGTCCTGGGCGAGACGTCAAAACTGTGCCCATTTGGGTGCCCTCGTCCGAACCTCGAGATCTCCTGAATGTAAAGTAATTAAAGGGTATTCCCTCTCTTTCTGAGGAAGACAGAGATATAGGGAGAAGTGGAGATGCGAGTCGTGTGAGCCCTAACACGTAAAAATAAGGTATGCATTCGTTGAATTCATCAATGCTCGCTAAAGTGGACAGGCCACGGAGGCCCGTTCTCTCTCTAAGTATAGCATGGTCCTAGGGTAATGGGTTTGGCGACTATCAATGTCAACTTCATTTTCTTGTAGTTTAGTGCTTAAGTGGAAGTCCTACTCCTAGAGCAAGAAAAAATAGTGTGATGTGTAGATTATGTAAACCAAGTCTATGTCAATCGTTGATGATATAGATGTCACGATAGGATTTATATAATAAACGATTGAAATAATATTGGTTCACATGATTCATGGACCATACAATAACTTATCTTACGGGACTTATATTCTTCGTTAGGTTGAAGCAAGATGTAATTTAAATTAACCTTGGATTAATTAATACGAACATTAAGAGTGAGTATCGGTCTCAATTCACTCCGGAACCGAACTGAACCGGCCTAAATTGACCGGTGCAATTTGGGAACTGCAAGACTGATTTGGCTTTGATTTTGCGCATCGATTCCCGATTGGAATCGGTTTTGAATCGATTTGCATCATGTTAAAAAATGTATATGTAAGTTGGTGAGTAAGATATTTGATACAAGGCCACGGAAGGAGAACTAACGGGTTTCATCCAACAGAAAACAAAAGAAACCCTACTAACACACCTCCATTGGCCAACTAGCTTGTCGCGTCTCCGCCAGTCGTCACTTTTCAATTTGGACGTTGGACAAAATCAATCTCAAATTTCTCTCATGCATAATTGGATAGGTTCCAAGTTCTTGATTGATAACCTACCCATTTTGAAACCAATCACCCATTAATGAAAATGGCAAAACAAGTAATAAGATTGTAAACATGTTACAACCAAGAGCGACGCACAGATATAATGTTGGATAAGATAAAAGTTATTAATCCAGCTGATGGGGGCATACCTGGTTAGGATAAGTCCAAATAAGTTCAGATCAAAACCTAATAACTTATCCAGGCACGGGGGATGGGAATTTAAAAAATTAGAAAGAAAAGAAAAGGGCAGAAGAGCCCTAGGATGGTGACGACAACATTGGCGCAACCATTTGTGCCGCTAGCGAATACTGTGTACGATCGTTGCAGTTTAGGCAACCTCGTTACGGCGGTCCCAAACCTTAGGCGACAACCATCATGGGGGTCTTTAGAGATTTCTCTCAGTCATGCGCATACTATATTGTCATGGTGACCACTGCGACGACAGATGTGACCATTGTTGCGGTGCTAGTCCTTAACAAGCAACACACAATGACACGGTGGTCGCTTGACCACCATGACGGTACCTATGGAGGTCAAGCCCATTCCGAGATTTGGATCTCGACTTGGGTTGCTCAATTTCCAATCGCAGTGATCTGAAGCAACCATTGCAACAGAAACGCCCACCATGGTGGTAGTCACCAAGCTGGCCATTGCGACGGCGAGGGTTCTTGATGGTTAGGGCTCTCAGATTCCCAAAGTCCCCAACCCTTTTTTTTAATTATAATTTTTTTGTCTTTTTGAAGCAATATTTTTGAATTATTACTTTCATTTTTATAGCCGTATCCATCATAATATCTGGTGTTGTACCAAACCAAAGATAAAATATCATAATCCCCTCACATTTTCTATTTATATCGTATGTTTTTTTTTTTGGTCTATTATTTATATCCTAAGTTATATTGTTCTAATCCTTGTCCTAACCACTGAGATTTGTCCCAATGGTCATCCTTCTTACTTGAGAATGGAGCGGTGGGGATGGAGACATTTAGTTTACATGGCAAAAGATCCTTATCGTGAGGATGGCATGACTGTGATAATTGATTCATGCTTTTCTTCTCCTTTTTTTTAATGGACTGCTCTTTATGTTAAAGGAATAGGTATGGTTTCAAAAATTAAATTTCTTAATAAAAGCTAGTGTCTTGTCAATATTGCCCGACCTTTGATCTCCCTCAGCTATTGAATTGTTGATTGACTGCCCCTAAATGTCTCTCTGCCTCAGCTTTTTCTTCTTTCGGATGGAAGGAAGTTCTCATGTACTGTCCATGCTTCATCGAAATTTTTGCAAGCTAATTGTAAGAGATATTTTAAGAGATTCATCACATCTCTTCATGTCTCTTTAGTGATAATGTGTTTCTCCATTGGTTGTAATTGATACCGTGAATCAAAATGTAATAATCTTAATATTATATTACCTTAAACAGTCACCTTGTGATGTTTATAAATAACCCGTGTACTCTTCTCTACTAAATACATTAAAATTACTTAATTTTCTTCCTCATGCTCTATGTTGGTATTAGAGCCCAGATCTTTGGACGAAACTAATCGAGTACTCTTCAAAAGGGAGAAAATTCCAAATAAGAGCATGAAGTATCATCATTTTCTTAAATAAGGATTTGAAGTGGATCTTGTTTTAAATAAGGGCCTGAAGTGGTTATGTCATTTCAAAAAAAGGCTTGACTTTCTGGATGGTCAAAGGCATTTTTGTTCTTCACCTTTTTTTTAAATTTTTTCCTTTCTTTATTTTTTTTCTTTTTTCCTTTTACTTTTTTTTCTTTCTTCTTCCCTAGTGGTTAGTTGTCGGCCATTGGCGATGCCCGAAAAGGGCTGGGCGAGGTGAACCTTGCCTAGATCTAGCGAGGGCCAGCCTCACTTATTGCCAACAAGGGCAGCCTCGCCCAGCCCTTTCTGGGCATCGCCGGTGGCCAGCAACTGGCCACCGGCGAAGAAGAAAGAACAAACCAGGAAAAAAAAAAAAAAGAAAAATAAATAAATTAAAATTATCTTTGGACAAAAATGCTCTTGATTAGCCATAAAATTTAGCCGGGGCTCTTATTTGAAACCATCATTACCACTATAGGCCCTTATTTGAAACTAACATGGCCACTTTAGGTTCTTATTTGAGAAAATGAGAGTACTTTAAGTTTTTATTTGAAATTTTTCCCTCCAAAAGCTGGACTTACTCAGGCAACTTCTTGGTCACATCTACCCAAAAACTCCAATGTGGTTTTGAAGGATTTGGGTGTGTGTCATTTAAAGCTTTTGAATCTGATTTGGGACATTTTGCCAAAAGAGGGAGAGGAATTGTTTCTTTAGAAAGAAATGGCCCAGTCATTTGCCACTAGCCGAATCGTCGGCTTGAAAAAGTCCACGTTGGAGCTACAAGTTGGAAATCTGCGAGCTAAACGATGTTCTACTATTACAATTATAGAAATCATAAGCAAAAATATACCTAAATGAAACAATTGTACTATTTATACAGACAAAAAAGGTAAAAAAAAAGATAACAATCTTTTTTTGATTTAGAAAATGGATCGAGATGGAAAAGTTTTATAAAATCCGGGCAATAGTGTAATTATGTAAACGTGTGAATACTACCGAAGGACTGATTTGATTTTTTGTGAAAACCGAGGGATTAGATCAAACAAATTGAAAGTTTAGGGACCTGATATAGCTCTAAATGAGATTTTACTTTTACTATTATAGAAGTCACAAGTCAAAATATACTTAAATGAAACTATCATAATACTTATAAAGACCAAAAATGTAAAAATGTAATTAAAAGATAGAATATTTTTCTATTGATTTAGGAAATGGATTGAAGTGAAAAGGTATCCTAAAATTCTAGTAATAGTGTAACTATGAAAATGTATGAATAGTACCGAATGACTGATTTGACTTTGCTATGGAAGTTGAGAGACTAGATCGAATAAATTGTAAGTTTAGGGATTAAACTAAACATTTAAGAATAATTCAAGGATCACATCGAACAAATTACCGATCTATCCACGACATTACACATTGGGGCCAAAGTTTGAGGATTAGTCATTTTCCCCCACAAACTTTTACAACGGATATGCATTCATCCTCGAATTTGAAACGCTTTTCCGAATCCCCGCAAACATACATCCTTAATCAAAACATGCCCTCCGTTGGTGATTTGTGAAAAATTGCCATTAAACTTTCTACTCGTCAATTTGTGTGGACGCCCTATGGCGGAAAGAGGCTGATGTGAAATTTTTCATCCTAGTTGAATAACAAAGTTGACACCGTTATAATTAGGGCTTTACCAGCATAATAGTTTTTTGGCCACTGTGAGAATAACATCATGTTGTAAGCCATAAATTCTTGAAGGAGTAGACCCTACAATAATTTATTATTTATTTTTTTGTGATACTGAACATGTTATTAATCTCATAGTAGATTGATGATTATCACTTAATCATTTCTCATTAGGGGGTTTTGGGGTTTCGGAGCTCCCGATTTTGCTCGAAGAAGAATGATGGAACCTCAAATTAGAGAAATCACTTTCCGCAAAAGACTCGATTCCAGGAAATTTAATAGGTACGTGAAGTGTAACTATGCATGGAGAATGTTCACGTTAGTGTGTAAAAACCCAAACATTTTGCCCTCAATTTTTTTCTTGTTTTTTCTTCTCTTTTCGAAAACCCTAGAATCTGCCCAGTTCACATAATCGATCTCTGAAAGTTACTTCGGTTTAGTGTACGGGTAAGACCATACATAACAACCAATATGTCCTTAAATGTTAACAAGTAGAAAATCTATCAGCGATTTTAGACGTAACATGCACCAGCAGAGGGCATATTATAGTCAATCATGTAGACTAGCATTAAAGAGATAGTTTAAGAGTTTGAGATATATAAACGTGTCCTTCCTGATAAGATTTGTTGGTATTAACCCTTTCTTAATGCCTATATCCTGGTTTTAAGATTTGTTTGCACGATTGACAAGATGCGAAAGCCAGAGCACGGCTTCTTCAATATCATAGCTTTGGAATAAGTAAGAAAGCAGATATCATATATGGCCTTATTCCTTTACGTAACATTATAAAAAGACAAGATGCAGACTAATCAAAAAGGGTCCAAGCCTCATATTTCTGCATCAATCTCCAGACAAATATCATAGGGACCCATGACAGTAGCAAACAGGACACCCTTCTTCTGAGGAAGTTGAGCGATCCTCTTCGATTCCTCTTCGGTGAGAGAAAAGTCGAAGATGTCGAGGTTTTCCCTCATCCTCTGCTTGTTGAAGCTCTTTGTCACGATGCTCACTCCTTGCTCACACAACCATCTCAGAGAAACCTACAACATTTGTTTATGACGATTATTTGGTTTATTACTTCGCTAATGAACCCAACAAGAAACATAGAATATGTTGATGATTTGCCTAGGTAAAAGTTCGGTAGGACTCCAATCTTCAATCCAATTGTATAACATATGTCCTTTGTAGTTGTCATTTCTTCAGGTTTTACCAAACACTTGGTAATTCGATTCATTCATCAATTTGATCGAGTTCTTCATTATTCATTCGTCAATTTTCTAATCAGGTGTTTTCGATATCAACTCCGGCCAAATTCAGCTAGCTTGGCTGTCGAACGACACCAAATTATGATGCCGATAAAATACGTCATGTCAGACAACGACGTGGTTTCATGTCACGCTAGCTGGATTTGGCCAGATTTGGTGGTGAAGGAAGCTGATTAGAAAGTTTGTGGCTTGATTCGATAAATTAAAAATACATGAGCTTGATCACAAAGAACGCGAAGGCACTAGGACAAGAAATAGAAATTTTCATAGAGTTACATTTACCTGGGCAGGTGTCTTGCCTCTAGCTTTGGCAATCTCTTCCAAGACATCACATTCAACAACTCTGTTGTCTCCCCATTTGGTGTTGTTAGCACCCAAGGGAGAGTAAGCGCTGATGTGGATGCCCTTTGCGTTGCAGTACTCCCTCAGCTGCTTCTGCTGCCAAATGGGGTTCATTTCCACCTACACATACCCACATCTCCTAAAGTTAGCCCTTGATTTTGAAGAACAAAATGGCGTAAACCATTGACAGAACTGACCTAACTTAACGATCTATTTCATAATTCGCTAAAGTCCTGGAAATTTTCAGCACTCGGTGAGATTTTAGCACTTTTAGTAACACTAAAAGCACGAATGATAGCATTAAAAATTGTACTTGACAACACTTATGCACAGCAGAGGCTAATAGAGAATTTATGACGACGTGCGACGAATTAGCGATTGATGATGTGGGTCGCACCTGATTAACTGCGGGAGTGATTTTGGCAGTTGATAGCAGCTCCTCCAGCTTCTTGCAAGAGAAGTTGCTGACTCCAATGCCCTTGGTGAGGCCCAGGTTCTTGCACTCTTCCATGGCTTCCCAAACCGACTTTATGTCCAGGGGAAGTATGTACTCCCTCTTCTCCACCGGCATTTTCTTCACCTCTTTGCTCAGCTTCACCGGCCAGTGGATCAGGTACATATCAACATACTCTAGTTGGAGGTTACTGCAATGGAAAAACAGCTGACCCAAGTCAATTTTATGAACAAGGAAAGTCGAACAGGCATGGCTTTTGCAAAATCACTTTTTACTCTGTTTCCGCAGTCGCCAATTTAGACCATCGCAACACAAAGGAGAGGGGCTACTGGTGTCCTGGGATACCGACCTTAGACTCATCTTCATGGCGGGCACGATCATGTCCTTTTCCGCGAAGCTGCTCCACAGCTTGGTGGTGATGAAGAGCTCGTCCCTGGACTTCACCAGGCCGAGACGCAGGGCCTCGCCGATCGCCTCCCCGAGCGGCTTCTCAGAGCCATACGCGAAGGCGGTGTCGAAGTGGCGGTACCCGGCTCTGATGGCCTCAAGTATGGCAGCCTTCGCAGTCTCCGGATCGGCCGGGGGGTATGCCGACGTCCCCATGCCGAGCAGCGGCATGGTCCGGTCGCAGGAGCCCACGCTTATCTCGGGAACTTGAATCCCTCCCATTTTCTGTGCGTGTACTTGTTTCCTCAATCACGCATGCTTCGCTTATATAGAAATGTCAAGTGCTCTTAGCGTCGAAATTCTTGACTAAGCTCAGCCGACGCACTTGGCCTTCCACTAATTTTTCGAAATGATTGATGGTTTTAGTTAGGTAAATTGATATTTCCACTGATGGTTTTGGATTAACATCAATTTAAAAATATTTTAAAAATTGTCAATAGAAGATATTTCCACTGACGGTTTAAAAATATTTTCTCTGTTTACGTAACGATGGCGTAACTAAAACATAAAACATAAAGTTGAAACGGCGTCGTTTTGTTATGCAAATTTTGTTTAAATTAAATTAAAAATTGGGTAAATTTACAAAAAAAAAAGAGGAGAGAGACCTAGAACCAGGCGGCGAAGGCTCGCCGCCACTGCCCCACAATGGCCGGGAAGGGGAAATGGTCAGCGGGGTCGCCAGGCCCCCGGCCAGGGGCCAGCGGCCTTCAATCAGATCGGGCGAGGGTCGCCGGCCGAGGGTCCCCACGATCCCCGCCCAGTTCAGAACTACTCCCGAAATCCCGGACGATGTTAGTCTTCTGCCTATTTTTACAGTTTCAAACATATCACTGAGCGTCTTGAATAGTCAATGAAGTCATGGGCGTACAATTTGGACCTTCTGGATGGGCTCGTCACTTTCCCATTGAGATATAGCAGCATAAGATTGACTTCTCCGGTAAGACAGATTCAAGTCTGCTGCGAACAAGCAGGTTTGTCATCGTGCTCATGTCTTGGTTGAATTTTGACCCACGAAAATGACTCGTGGAGCAGCGGAGGGGACGCTACGCCGTGCGTTTGGGGTTTTTATTAGGCGACTCTTATGGGTCAATGTATGGAGCCGTATACGCACAAAGTATTTCATGAATTTAGTATAAACTCCATCCGGATCGCCATAGGTATTGGGACCCACCATCTTCGATATATATATACGCACACTATACTTGTATAATAAATTTTTTACGTCACTCTCCGTGAATCGAACAAAAAAAGAAGTAGAGATACATAAAAGGAGCAATACTCAATAACATCGAGGAACTCTTATGTATATGTATGTATACATTGCGGGTATACTCAAGCTCTCCTGTTACATGCGTTGTGAACCACTTATACTAAAACTGGTATCATATGTGATCGGGTGTATTAACCAGACGATGCGATCTTGGTATCGCGATTTATTGAGGGTCGACCAAAATTTCTTCGATCGTCGTGATACGATCTAGTTGACCACATTCTCCCAAAAGAAACATTAGGATAAACACACCAATGAACCCATTGGAAAAGAAAAGAATGGTGGTGGAACAATTTAGTTTGCAGAACAGTAGGTCAAGCTGATCCCATTATTCATGTGTCGAGGAGTGGAATCTAGTATCTACCCATCTGTTCAATTCCAAACTTGGAGTGATCATTGATCTTTGCCAAACCCGTGGAATTACACTAAGTGCGAGGAATAGAGTAAATAGCCGGTGACCAAGAAGGAGACTTAGGGTGCGCATGAATACCATTCCGTGCCGAGCTATTATTTACGAACGAAATGATTTTTTTTATTCTGCTGGAAACAATTTCTCGAGTATTTGAAGGCGTTTGATAAATGTCCAAAATTTCTATTCCTAGAGTAGAAAAGAACAGAAATGCGTTTGGTAACTACACAAAATTTCTGTTCCCAAATAATATTTTAATAATATTTTGAATTGTTTAAATTTTTTTTTTTTTTTACTTTCTTCTTTGGCCATGGCCGGTCGCCGGTCGCCGGCGACGGCCACGCCCGAGGCCGGCGAGGGCGTCACGGACCTCGCCGGCCGCCGGCGAGGCGAGGGTCGCCCTCGCCGGCGAGGGCGAGGCCGGACCCTCGCCGCTGGGCGGCGGCCTCGCCCGGAGACGGCGAGGCTCGGCCTCGCCCAGATCCGGCGAGGCCGAGCCTCGCCGTCGCGACCCACGGCGGCCGACCTCGCCGTGGGTCGTGACGGCGAGGCCGAGCCTCACCGTCTCGGGCGAGGCCGCCTCGCCCGGGCGGCGAGGGTCCGGCCCTCGCCCTCGCCGGCGAGGGCGACCCTCGCCTCCGCCGGCGGCGGCGGCCGTGACGCCCTCGCCAGGCCCGGGCATGTGGCGTCATTGGTCGCCGGTGGCGGCCACCAAGAACAACACCACAAAATAAGAAAAGAAAAAAAGAAAAAGAAGAAAAAAAAGCTGATTCTCAAAATTGTGCGAGAAACAAGAAGAACTTTTTTACTTCTTGTTTCTCTTCCAAAATCTGTTTCTCGGCACAAATTTTTGCAAAAATGTGCCGAGGAACAAAAAGTTTACCAAACGCATTTCTGTTCCCAAACTATTTCTGGGAACAAAAGAACAGAAATTTTCACTATTTGGCACGTTACCAAACGGGCCCTTAACATCTAATTAAGAATTATATCGAAACGGGGTCACGCCACTTTTTGATGAACCAAAAAAGAAAATGAGTTACTATGTGAAAGATTTATAAGAGGTAAGGTATGGTCCAATTGGACCTATACGGTGGTACGGCCAGGTTGGACTTAGATTCGAACTTTGAAAATTCCTTAAACTAGGGGCGGGATGTGTGGGATATTTCAGCACTTTTGAATTATTTAAAGCAATTGTTTATAACGGATTTAATGGAAATCAAGACGACAATCAATTTATAACAGCTCTAACGTTGATTTGATTTATTTCTTTATTAATTACCATTTATTTGTCTATAATGATAATTTTCTTATCTCATAAAAACATTTCAAAGATAAGAAAACCTCTTTTATCTTTCCATTTTAGCTGGGTTTTACGTACAACATTGTTGTTCCTGTTCCTTTTATTTATTTTGTGTGGAGTATAGAGGAAGATCTGTTATATCCTGGGAGAATAGCTGCTAGAATCTTACGCACCGAGTTTCGTACTCCGAGGGGCTGAATTATCCTTAAGGACAGTGCTTGCACGCCTTAGATATTTGTTGACACCTAAATTTTACTAAGTCATTTAGAGTTTAAGTGTATAAAAAATTAGGGGTTTATTTTTAACCCCTAAGCAAAAATATTTTTATTAAATTACATGGCATGTAGATATTAGGCGCATTTGCATTAACAGAATTTGGTGAAAAATATTTTCCTTTTAATTTATTTCATCTACTTTATTTTATTTAAAAAATCATTATAAAAATTTAAAAAAAAAAGAAAAAAGAAAAATAAAAAAGGGGGCGAATTGGGGCCGTGTCAGCCCAGCTCCCCTTTTTTTCCTTTCTTCGCGTCTGGGCCCAGCTCGGCCCATCTCTTTTCTTCTTTTCCCCCAAGCCCAGCATCTCTTCCTCTCTCCTCCCCGCTTGCGTTTTGACCAAGACAAAGAAGCAGAGCAGAGCAGTGAGGGCAGACTGATCAGTGGCAGCTTCGAGCTGGAAATAGAAAGAAAAAGAGCTGGCTCCGTTGACTGACCCGGGACCGTTTTGGAGGGACGCCAAAGAGAGAGGACCGGCAGGAGTCTAAAAGGAGGAGGCTCGGCGAGAGATACCGGGGGGGAGAGCAAGAGAGACCGAGAGGGAGAGCAAGAGAGAAAGGGAAAGAAAATCCATCCCGCTCGCCGGAATAACTGTGGTTCTCATCGGAGATCCACCTACTGGCCACCATTTGTCGCCAAAAGCCGCACGAACCAGGTAAGCTCCAAAAATGCTCTGTTTTTCCCCTGCCTCTCAGGAACCAAAGACGTCGGATCTGTTCGGTGATCTTCGGATTCTTTCAATGGAAGTTTATAGTCGTTTCGTACTGATTGAGGTCAACCTGAACATCGTATGTCGAAAAAATGCCATGAACCTTGTTAAAATCGGACCTGTAGCTCCATATCTCAGTCGCCTCCCACGTGTTCGATAAAATGCCACACTGAAACCGTATGAGCTTAAAATGTCAAAATCGACGGTGCTGGGGAAGTTCGCCGGTGGAGAGGTTTCAGCGCAGTCTCGGCGTTGAAGAAGACAGGCGTGAGGAGGTCTCGGTGAAGAAGAAGGTATACAGTAGAGGGGGGGAAAGAAAAGGAATAAAAAATTAGGGAGAAAAAGAAATAGAAAAAAGAGAAAATAGAAAAAGAGATATAAAAAAAAGGGGAAAAGAAATATAAAATTGGGATATAACCCGGGCGGGTCCGAGTCGGTCGCGCGTACACGTATCCCCGCCGGAGAATTCCTTCCCCATCCGAGAGGCCCGCTGTTTGATGCCGCGACCGTTAGTTCACTCTCTCCTTTTCATAAGCTTGTATGCCTGTTTGTTTGCGTTTTAGCACTTATTGTCACCATGGGAAGTCTGGTGATCCGAAAGTAAAAAAAGGGTCGTCAATGTTGGCATTTTGGTGGCTGGCAGTGCTGGATTAAGGATGGTGGTTCGGTAATGGTAGCGTCGTTAATCTAGTCGGAGCAGATTTGACGTCGGTGCCAGTCGAGGAGGCTGGTTTTGGTTCGGCGTAGTGGTCGCCAGTGATTCTAATACGTGAGAACTCTCGGGAGAAGGCGCACGTCAATGAAGAGAACAACGTGAAGAGGAGTCCCGGTGAAGGAGATGTCCTGGGCAGTAAAGAAAAAAGGGAAGAAAAGTCACAAAGGAAGACGTCCAGGAAGGGGAAGAAGAGTAAAAAGAACAAACAGAAAAAGAAAAAAAAAAGAGAAGAGAGAAAAAGAGAAAAAGAGAAAAAGAGAAAAAAAAAATCGAATAAAAAGATCAAATTTTGAAAACTCGGGCGGGTCGGTAATCTGGGTCAGGAAGTCGGGTGGATTGGGTCAGGGGACCTGGTCCGGAATTTTTATTAATAAAGATATAAAAATATTAAAAAAATAAAAAATAAAAAAAATCCGAAAATGTTTAAAAATCCAAAAAATATTAAAAATTCTGAAAAATATTAAAAAAAGAACATTAAAATTAAATTAAAAAATTAATTAAAAAATCAGAAAATTCCAAAAATCCGGAAAATCAAAAAATATTGTTTGGGCATTGGAATTGGCTTTTCTCGCCCTTTT